TGTCGTTGTTGGGTTAAATTTGCCAACTAAATTTAGACATTTTTGCTAGATAGAAAAAAATTAGTTGATTGTTTTAAGGGAGAGTGTTAGTGACGGTTTTTTACTAATTCTTCCTGCTAAATTTAGTTATTTTACTTTATAAATAAAGGCAGTTTAATTTAATTGTTTTAATTTTATTTTAATAAGATATTAAATATTAATATTTTAATTTTAATCTTAATCTTATCTTTAAAGAGATAGAAATACCCATCTTTTCATTTAATTATAGGAAAATAATTTAAGAGCAATTTTTTATATCATTTTTTGTATAACTTTATATGTTATTTAAATAATTTATTTTTTTATTAAATGTATTTATTTATTTAATGATATATAAAAGTTATATAAAAAATAGTACAAAAAATTTTCTCTATATCATTATTTAATTATAAATATGGGTGAAAATAAAAAGATAAATTATAATTATTGTAATAAATAAACTTTTTAATAATATAAAATAAGACAACTAAATCCAACTAAATTGAGTAATATTTTTCTCTGCACACTTCATCTATTATTGTGTCTGAATTGTAAATAACTTATTTGTTATTTATGGTTGGTGATATATATATAATTTGGATGGTCCTTGAATATAGTTATAGGGACGAGTCCACCCCGAATAAAAAATAGAGGTAAATTTACCCACAAAATTTTTGATTTTGATAAATCACTTCAAATTTAACGTATGACGTCATCTAATATCAGCAATATGTTAATTTGATGTCATTTAACATCAGTAATCTGTTAATTTGACATCATTTCACGTCAACAATCCGTTAACAGATTAACAGATTGCTGATGTTAATTTGACGTCATTTGACATCAATAATATGTTAATTTGACATGTGACATCATCTAATATTAGCAATATGTTAGTTTGAAGTCACTCAACATCAGCAATCCATTAATTTGACATCATTTCACGTCAACAATCCGTTAACAAATTAACAGATTGTTGATGTTAGATGACGTTACACGTTAAATTTGGAGTGATTTATTCAAATCAAAAACTTTGTGGGTGGATTTGTCCTCATTTTTTGTTCGGGGGTAGATCCATCCATATGACTATATTTTGGGGGTGAATTTGAGTATTTTATAAAAATAAAAAGATAAGTTATAATTATTGTAATAAATAAATTTTTTAATCATATAAAGTAAAACGACTAAATCTAACTAAGTTAAGTAACATTTTTCTCTGCACACTTCATCTATTATTGTGTCTGAATTGTAAATAACTTATTTGTTATTTATGGTTGGTGATATATATATATTAGCTTGGACGGTCCTTGAGTTTAGACTAATTAACTTTATACAAATTTAAAGGTATGACCTCTACATAGCCATGTGAAATTAAATTTATTTAGGTGCCAAGCCTAAAAGTTGGAAAGAATCTATCCAATTTAATAATCATCAAGTTTTATAATTTTTGGATTGAGAATGTATTTGGGCTTAAAACTAAGACTTTAAAGAGTGGAAGCCCAACAAGGTAAGAGTGACAGGCTGAGCCTCAGAGGAAAGAACGGGCTCATGTCTGACGTTGAGATGGGCCTTTGGCCAGTAAGAGTTGGGCTGGGCTGGGAGCGTGGACACAGTTGCCTAAAGAGAGCGTGAGAATTGTGCTCTCTGGAAAGGCAACACTGGTTGAGAAACAAGTGAGAAAGAAAGAAAGAAAGGAGGAGAGAACAGAGATAGAGACACTCCAATGTCTTCAATTCACTCCGTCCCCTGAAAGTCGCCGACTACCGACGATTGATTTCGCCGATTCCATGGGCGAGCAATCCCCAGCCCAGCCGCATCCGCAGCCGCAATCCCAGGCTCATAATGACTCTGCCACCACGCAGACACAGACCCAAACCCAACCCGACAACCTCAACGCCACCATCACGGCGGCGACCACCACCGAACTGACCAATGTTACTCCTCCAAAGACCTCCGCTCCTTCTAAAATCCCTCTACGACCTAGAAAAATTCGGAAACTTTCCCCTGAAGACGTCGACCCAAATTCCTCTCCTCAAATCACCACCACGACAACGGTTGCGATTGTCCCGATTGAACAACCTAAAAGCACTTCAAAGGCTACCAAAACCAAACTCACCCAGCAGCGGGCGTTGGTGCCGCGCATCATCGCCCGCTCCTTGTCCTGTGAAGGCGAGGTCGAGACAGCCATCCTTCATCTCCGAAATGCTGATCCCCTCCTCGCTAACCTCATCGACGTCCATCTTGCCCCTACCTTCGACACTTTTCGCACTCCTTTCCTCGCTCTTACTCGCAGCATTCTTTACCAGCAGCTCGCATTCAAAGCGGGTACCTCCATCTATACTCGCTTCATCGCCCTCTGCGGTGGCGAATCAGGTGTCCTTCCCGAGACCGTCCTTTCCCTCACCCCACAACAGCTCCGCCAAATTGGGGTATCCGGCCGCAAAGCCAGTTACCTTCACGATCTAGCGAGAAAGTACCAGAATGGGATTTTATCAGACTCCGCCATTGTAAATATGGATGATAAGTCGCTTTTCACCATGCTTACTATGGTCAATGGAATCGGTTCTTGGTCTGTACACATGTTTATGATTTTCTCGCTTCACAGACCGGATGTGTTGCCAATTAATGATCTTGGGGTTCGGAAAGGAGTCCAATCCCTGAACAATTTGGAGGAGTTGCCGAGGCCCTCACAGATGGAGCAATTGTGCGAGAAGTGGAGGCCATACAGGTCCGTCGCTTCTTGGTATCTATGGAGATTTGTGGAGGCCAAGGGGGCTCCATCAAGTGCTGCAGCAGTTGCAGCCGGTGCTAGCTTGCCACCACCGCAACAGGAGGAACAGCAGCAGCACCAACAGCAGCCACAGCTTCTTGCCCCAATTAATAGCATTCTCGATCTTGGGTATGTTCCTTGTCAATTGGGTTCTTTGTTTGCTTAATGTTCAATTGATAAGAATGCTGATCTTTTTTGTGGTTAGATTTTTAATTTTTGTGTTAAAAACATGCATCTTTTGATATGCATTGTTTGTGTTCATTTATTCTCAGCATGTCAAACTAAAAAATTTATATTACTGTACATTTAATTCTGCAAAATGAACGTTTTTGAGTGGGTTATTGTCAGCATTGTTATTTAAACTTCATGTTCTTTAATTCTGTAATATCATTGTGTTTAACATTGTTTCTCTCTGGAAGTTTTGAGGTGTTTTGCCATTTGGGAATTATGCTTTGACTAGGACCTATTCCAACTAAAATTAAAGTTTTTGGTTAGTGTTTATCATTGTCTTAGCTATTAAATGCATTGCTGCTTCTAGCTCTTGGCATCTTTTGTATTTTGTAGATACTGCTTCCTATTAGGGAGCTAATTGATTGCTCACTTAGAAAATAAATACGTGTCGCAATCTGCTGTATGCTGGGAAATTATACAGGAAACAGAGTCCAACTGCGTTATGTTTTTAGAATAGTAACAAAGTTTGTTTCAACACATGACTCAATTAAATTTACAATAAAATATTGGAACTTGGAAGAATCCATAATAGAGAAAGAAAGAGAAGAAAGGAAGTTCCTCTTTCAAATTGAAGAAAAGGGGAGTAGGATAAGGAAGATAAAAGTGTGAGATCTTTATTGAAACTTTTTCCATATTGTGGTTGTTAAGATGCAAACATGATTTGACATGTTTATATATTTATAGATGCATCCTCCTACCTTGAATTTATGTTGTCATTTTCTGCATTTGAAAAAACTACAAGGGCAAGTTCTATTTAGTATGGTTGTGGTTTTGAGTTTTTGGTTTTGGTTTTTAAAAGTTTAGAAATCCTAGAATAAAATTAAGGAGTTCTATAAATTCATTAAATTTGGAGTTTTGGGTATTTGTTTTAAAATTTTATATCCAATAAGTTGGCAATTTTAATTTTAGTTTTTAATTGTTAATTTTGATTGTTCAAATTTTGAAAACCAAAACAAAAAACTCAAAACCACAACTATACTAAACGGAGCCATAATGGATGGATGTGCTTATAATGAACATAACCCCTGCTTGAAATGAATATGTATTCAATCTTAGCTTATCTCAGTCCACATAAATGTTTCTTCTGACCGTGCATTTGTGTTCTTTACTGGTATTCTGCTGTGTAACTAGAGGTGTGTGTGCTTCAAGGAGACCGTTTTCTAGTTTGTGAAGTATTGATTGTTTATGACCTAGATAAGGCATCAGACACTTTTTTATTGTGTTTAATATTAAGTGAATTAAGTGTGTCATTGCTGAAGGAGTACCATTTTGCCTAAAACATGTGTTCAATCTGGCCTTGACTCTATTTGTATGGCTCTATTGCTTGCATCAGATGTTTGGATTCCCACTAATTTTTGTTAAATTTCATTGGAAGTACTCTAATTAGTTGTTATTTTTCACTTACCTCTTTGAACTGTCAGAGTTTTATGGTTTGACCTGCCCCCTTCTGGGCTGAATGAAAATGTTTTAGTTTGTTATATAAACTCGAACTTATGTACTGAGATGGTAGAATGCTATTCACTTTGATCTGCTGATTTATTTTGCTTAGTTTGCTTCTCCTGCATTGTGACCAGACTCAATTCTGGAGTGAATTATGCTTTACACATATTTGTAGAGTTAGTTGGCTTTACATTTCTTCTTAATGCTTTTTAACAATTTTTTCTGCTTCCCATATAATTAGGACTTGTGGATGGGGACACTAATAGGTATCAGAATCAGAACCTTGATCATTTGCATGAATCAATGGATGAGCCTAGAAGGAAGGAACTTCAAAGCAATCTCTCCAGAAGGAATCCTACTGTTTTCGATCAAGACCTTGTAGGGTGTCTAGCCACTCACTTTGAGATTGAATAAAACACTCTGTGCTCATGTTCCTGTGTTTAGGACACCAGCTTTAGTTATCAATCATTCCATATTAGGACACTACAGAATGCAATGCCCTTCTAGAATGTGGCTCCGCCTTTCAATTTTCAAATTTATCAGCTGCATGTTTTTGTAAATCTTTCAACAACTTTTTCACATGCTTGAACTTAGAACTTTCCTTTGTTAATGAAGTTGTGAACATTTATGTGGCAGTATGTATAATTAATACAGTAACAGGTTATAAAACGGGAATGTTTGTTGAAGATTTGAATTGATTATGACTTTCAAAATTAAATATGTTATCGGTAGAAACTCAGTGGTTCTCACCAACCGGGCCTTGGCTTCTATTGTTTCAGAATTCAGTGAAGAGTCACTTTTCTGCCCTGTTAGACTGCATGGTTGGGTCTGCTTGTCCGGGGTCCAATATTATTATATATATGCTAGTTTGTAATTTAAATTATATTAAATTATAAAATAAATTTTTTTTATAAAAAAGATATTAAAAAGTTTATTACTTATTCAATGTCTATATTTAACGATATAACACAGCCTGTATTATAAAAACATTTTCGTCTTATTATATTACGAGGTTACAATCATTTGTTTCTCGTTTTTTGTTTTGTATTTTGGGGGTAATTTTACAATCATTTGTTTACTCCAAGGTTGTCAAAAGCAAAATCCCAACACCACGTAAATCAGCACTGTACTTAGCAAATATTGAAAACCTTGACGCCATTCATTGTTGACGTTTTCAAATTGCCACGTTCCCCCGGAAAACTGGAATCGTCGCTGTCAAAACCCTTGTAATCACGGTAAACCGCCCCCTATATTCCGGACCCAAACATTGATGGGCAACATCAATATACAAACACAAAGAAGCTGAAATTGTTGGTTTTCATTTCGCTGAAAACTCAGCGAAGGATCACACTCAGATATTCTTGTCGAATCTTTTCATTCTTTGTTTTAAGCTCTTCGTTTATTCTCTTAGGATATCTGTTGAACACCTAATCCCCATTTTTTGATTCTGTTCTTTTCACCATAAAGTGCCTTAGATGGTAAGTTTTTTTCCACAGAGATACATGGAGGAGTATGGACTACGAAAATTATGACCCTTCTTTCCCCGATCAACCTGTGGTCGATCAGTACCTTCCCATATGGGCTAAGTTGCCTGCATTCAGTTCTAAGCCAGCGTTCATCTGGGTCAAAGGTGACTCGACCAAGGGTTCTGCTTCTACCCTTACCTATGAACAGCTCAACAATTCAGTGCAGTCCATTTCTTCTAAGCTTCTTGTCCCATTGCAGAGAGGTGACACTGTCGTCATTCTGTGCTCCCCTGGACTCAAGCTGGTAGAAATCATATTTGGGTGCCAAAGAGCTGGCCTTCTGAGTGTGCTGGTATTCCCACCAGGCCCTTCTTTTGTTAATGAAAACCTTCACCACCTTGTCAGAGTTCTCTCACAGACAAAACCCAAAGCTGCCATTGCCAACCATGGCTACATCTCAAGCGTTAGACACTACATTTCGTCGTCGTCTAAGAACAGGAGCTGGCGGATATGTTGAAATGTAGCTGTCCAGAAACCCTCAGGGGAGGATGCCTGGCTGCATTCTTGGCTTCAAGAATCATCGTTCTTGCGGCAGAGATGCAAAAATCTGGTGAAGTGGATAAAAGGGTTTTGAGAAACATATGTGAAAGAATCAAACAAGCTGTTTTGGATGAAGAAAAGGTTGAACTGGGGTTGGTTGTTCTTGTAAGAAGTGGAAGAGTTCCCAAAACTACATCAGGGAAAGTACAGCGATGGGCTGCTAAAATTAAGTTTTTAAGTGATGTAATGGATATGAACTTGGATGAAAGAAGTGGCTTCTTTTCTTCAGTTGGGGCTGTGAATAATCATGAAAGTAAAGGGAAAGGAGGAGGAAGAGGGAGAGGAGGAGAAGAAAAAAGAAAGGGGAAAGCTGAGGGGACAGAAGAGGCGGTTTTTTCACTTTCGAGTGAACCAAGTCGACGGCCTTCCTTGCTGTCGCCATTGTGAGAAAGCAACATGGTGTGGACTGTGGAGAAAAGAATGCTTGTTTAGATTTTGTAGCAGCCTTAATTATCAACAATGGCAACCGATGATTGTGCCTGGATAAGCTCAGCCCATGGTGGAGGAATATTGGAGAGTTGAGAGTTCATCATATTGATCCTCTAATTCGTCCGATGCAAACTTCCAACAGCTGTTTGCAGCTCCCAGGGATCAGTTAGAATCCTTTTTGTAATTGTAATGTGTTGGTTGATGTGGGTGAAAATGTGCAATTACGTCGTAAACTTTGTACTTTTTAAAAAAAATTTAAAATTTAAAATTTTAATTATTTTAAATAAAAATATTAACTTCTATTTAAAAAAATATAAAATTTTAATTTTTTATTTAAAAATATTAACTTTAATTTTGTTTCTATCTACAAATTAATTAAAAA